ATATATATATATATATACACGGATTAGACGATGAACACGGGGCATGTAGGGTCAGGGTTCGGAGTCGAGAGACGTCCAGTGCAGGATCCAAAATTTAGGAGCCAAGACAAATCACACACACACACACAAAATGTGCCGTTTGAAAAGACGCAGCGCCCTAAGCAAGTTTCTTCAAATCAGGCTTCCCACTTGTCATGCAGTTTACTGTTTCGGGACAATATCTAACAGCAATCCCCACAACGATGACCAGGACCCTCACAGAACTTCGCAGCCTTCATGTCGGAAGCTTGCTATCCTAAACTACCACCGCAAAAGCAAAACCCTTACCCCTGAATCCCCAACAAACACTGCGAACCCTAAACCCTATACTATGTTGTCCGCGAAGCTTCTGGGCCGCCATCGAGTCTACTGGCTTCAAAAACAACCAGCGAAATGCAAAAAGATGCTGGCGAACTTCTATTTCCCTAAGCCCTATTAGGGCTCCAACTCCCCAAGCTTCAAAGCCCTAAACGCAGCACCATCCTAAAAAGGGGCCCTTTTGGGGGTTTCCATAACTGGGTGTCCGTCTCTACATCCAACATACTGTAATGGGTTTAGGGTTTAAGGTTTGTGGTCGAGGATTGAACAGGTATTATGGTGGCCCCAAGGCCCCCCGACTTAGGAAAACCTCATGTATTGTTAGTGTGACTCCGTTTAGGACGAAGCCCCGTACAAAGACTTACAAGAGGAATCTGGCCTAGCAGTTCTTGATCCCCCAAACTTTGTTTTCGGCTTGAGCTCAGACCTGCCTGAGGCCTTCGACAAAAATCCTGTCTAAAGTGCGTGCCGCACCCAAACGCCGACAATACCGCAGGGTGCCAAAGATGATTAAAACGACATTTGAGCTCTACATGGGCTACTCTATAACACACGTATGCCAGGAATCCAGGACATCAAAGATTGACTTATACCTAACAACACCTCTTCAAGCCCAGCTTCCGTGTCATTATCTATTTTCCATTTGATCCTCTCTTGTCCCATAAGCTCTAAACCCTAATATGCCCCTGTACACCTGTTGAAGTGACGACAATCTTGGCAATGATTTAGGCTCCTGCAGTAGGCCCAAAGCCGTACTTTTCAACTCCCATGACATGGGGTCTTCTCATGAAAAAGGGAGGCGTTTGAAGTTCAGGATTTAGGGCTGCAGGTTTAGGG